AAGTGGTTTATATATCTAACAACATGGTTAAAAGCGTCTCTTAAACCAACTTACCAACTCGTGGTTTCATAATAAAAGAACTGACATTAAAACTATTTAAAAGCCAGAATATAAATAAAATTTGTAAGGGCTGTTCCAAGAACAGCCCAGCAAAGCAACTCACAGTAACCCAGTAGACACAATCCATAAAAACACAGCTTCCTTTTCAGGATGAGGGAGTTAGGCACTAACTGGAGAAGAATCCAAGTCCTGGTGTTGCAGTAATTAAAAGTCCATCTCTTGTCACTGCTGTGCCATATGCAATACCTTTTCAAATGTACCTCAACATTTCTCTTAAAAATATGCAAACACTGTTACGTTGTCTTTCTGAATCCCTTTAAAATAGGATATATGTTTTCAAAGGCTTCATAAATTTCTGCTCTGACTTTCGCACCTACAAAAAAGAAAAAAAGTGCATGCATTCTACTCAAGAACTAGCAGTTTCAGTTATCAATTTTGACATATGTATCTAGATCCAGATATATACATGGATGGATCCAGAGTTTTGGAAAGTGAGGTGCGGGAGCAGCCACTGGTACTGCATGGGTGGCTGCACCCCAGCTCCCAGCCTCCCTGCCCACACAAAAGCAAGCAGACCATGCCACAGGGGACCCCTAAAGTCAAACAGGCAAGAAATTTCCCTCCCCCTCATTTCTCTCCTCTCCACTTCCTTTCCACTGTCCTGGACCTGCAGGCAATGCAAGGGGGCAGGGTTGCTACAGCTAGGCTGCACATAAAGCCAGCTGTGGGTAGAGACAGCAGGCAGCTTCCCTTCCCTTCCCTTGTGCCTGGTTCCTGGGCTGACAGGGAGAAGGAACTTGTCCACTGCTGCTGCTCCTGGCTGAGGCCAGAACTGCAGAATCTGGTTGGAGCCCCTGGGTCCGGGGTGGCCAGGGATAGTGACAGCCATGGGGAAATCATGCTTTGGGGACTTTAAAAAAAGGCTCTGGCTTTTGGGGACTTAAAAAAGGCAGTTATGGCACAGTCAACTGAAGGGGGGGAGGGGCAGGAGGGAATGTCCACACCACTGCAAACCACCCTCCTCCCCACTGCCAAATTCATAGATAAGGTGGCCCAATTTCTTACTAACATTGCCTCTTGCCAATATGCTATTTGGAGTAATTTAGATTAACTGTTTAGGTTTTTTTTCTATGCATTTCATGTGTGAGATACTTCATTGTGCTTCTCAAAGCAGTGACACTTAAAAGCATTTTCCATCAGGTATAAAGTTACTATATTTTTGCATGCATTTCATTTCATAGACATTAGGGCTGGAAGGGACCTCAGAAGAT